TATGGGATTTTTCATTTGGACGTCGCTGCTCTCGCCACCTCACTGCGACTGACGTCGTCATAGACTTGACTCTTCACTCTTGGTGCACCAGCCATCATGCAACTCTTTAGTCTTGTCTAGCAGTCCCGTGTGCACGCACCCACTGTTTTATGGTGCTATGGCTGCTGCTTTTCCCCAGAACATATATTCTTCTGAATTTCCAGTGTTCAACTTTACAGTTGGCATGCACAACAGATGCGACGTAACCACAAGGTGCTGTTAGTACACAAAAGCAAACGGAGTCAACTGGGAGATACAAAAATTCCAAGCAAGTCATGCGCGCATCCACACTCTTCTGCGTTGTGCTCGCTCGAGGTGGGCAAATTGTTCCTGGAGAAGGTGACAACCACATTGATGTTGTTCATTCATGTACATTGTCCATGAGGAACAGAGTAGCCTGACATAGCTTGGAAAAACAATTGCACATCTCCCATCCGCACTGGGAGCGAGTGGAAGACGAAGACCGACTTTTCAGAGGTTACTGTGTTTGGAATCGAGATGGTTTTCAATGATTTGCACAAACTGTTCAGCTTTGCCCGAAGAGTTTCTGCATTCTGGAGGAGGAACTAATGATCTGAATTCTGTTGACAGTAATGGGGATACAGTTACTTTAAGTTTTTTTTAGGGGAGGTACAGTTACTTTAAGGCTTCGTTTGGGAAACCTTGGATCGGCGGGTATTGGTGGTGGATCCCGGTCTCCAATGGAAGCCAACCCACGCCGGGGTTTCACACACGTGGATGCACAAAACTGCATTTGGATGACGCCAAGTTGAAGAAAAACCCGCCCGATCCAAGCGAAAGAATTGTCCTCACCCGAGGCCGGGAAATCGCGTCGCTTCGTTCTGGCGACTTGCGAGTCGTGAGCCTCGTGACCTGCGACTCCGCTGCCGCTCCCGATTCGCCGCCAGGTCTGCCGGCGAGGGCACCGCCACCGCTCGCACTTGATACAGGTATGTCCTTCGTCTCCTCCTCCGTCCCCTTCTCCTCAGCCCGTTTCCCTTGTTAGGGTTTGACCATACCGCGGAGGCGGCGGCATCAGCTTCTGCCGGCATCGAGAGAGAAGGTGGCAGCTGAAGGTCGTGAGGTGTTATCTTCTTCAAGATCTCAACACCATCTCGAGAAGGGCAATTTCTTTTCTAGGTCCGGCCAGATCTCCCTCCCTCTCTACTCTCTGTTGTTGTATTGCTAAATTCTTTGTTGTGCTGTTGACCAAAGATTGCGGCTCAGAAAATTTAGCCGCCAGCCCCATGGATATGTGTTAATGATGATTGATCTTTTTACTTGCATGGGCTTGTCTTAGATGCTTATTGCTAGATTGTTCTATCTGCAGTGTCCGTGTAATATTTTTCTTAGAGCAACAGAGATTGTAGGTACGCAGATCCATATCTGTTCTTCAGGCTGACACAGCATTCGTATAACTCTCTCATCAATGTTGCAGATGATTTGAGCATACATTGTACTAGGTTGTCTGTTCTTAGGTTATTACCTTAAGCACTTCTTATGCCGACATTACAGTAGCTCTGATGTTGAAACATCACTAATATTTCTGCCAATAAAGGGTGTACGGTGTCACTTTGACAGGCATTGTTCTGGGATGATTAATTGATCACCAATGATATGTAAAAAACAACCGAGGTAATAGTGATTAATACATTGTAGAGAAACATTGGTGTTATAGTAAAGTTTGCACAAGGATATACTGTTATGTAATGAGATTGCTGATATATGGATGTGCTTGATTTGTTCACAATTAATACGGAAAAAATCAAAACCAATATCCTGATCACACAGCAAGCACTTAGATCACAGGTACATTCCTATTGTTTTTGTTTTGTTTTGGGAGAAAACTAAAATTGAGCTAACACTACTACATCGAGCTAGTGGTTGTGTGCAAAAGCTAGCACTTTTGATGAACAAGATATAAGCTGAGCCGGAGCAAGGCGGAGGGATAAATAAATGAAATGAACTGAAACTATTAAACTGTTTAATTTGTCAAATCAAACATAGGCATGCATGCAAAGTGCATGAATCAACTACTGCTGCTAATAACCGTCAGCATGATTTTATTTCATTCGTCCAGGCAAGCAGGCAAACAGCTTGTTTTAGCAGAATATTTTTGTTTCACTCGTTTTCTTTCACCAGTGGCTTGATTGTTTCACTCATTTTGTTTTCTGCATGTGAAAGGAACTGTAGTCTTTCAGTTCTTCTACTCGTGATAATATTTTTCCTGGCAACATGAATATTTTTCCTCTGAATTCCTGCTATTTTTACTAGCTGAAAATGCACTATGTACAGTGGATGAGCTGATTCTTAGAGTTAAAAAACTGATTTTTTTTTTCCGTAGCCTAGCTTGCTACTTGACATATAATTTTTGTATGTTACGTTTCTATAAGTTTATACTGACAACTTTTGATCCAGATGTGATGGCTGAGATGGGTGGACATGATGTGCCTATTGACAATGCAAGGGCGTGGACATGGGTGGACAACTTGTTGGACAGGGCGTGAAGATGAACAAGGGCTTCAAGGAGGTGCACCTTGACTCGGTAGCAAGAGATGTGACTGAGTACAGTGGCCAACCTTGCACAAGCAATCAGGTCTACAACGATCTCAGCAAGTGGCGTGCTCGCTGGATCAAGGTGTACAAGCTGAAGGAACTGAACAGGGCTGGCTGGGATGAACAAAGCTACATGATCACGCTTGAGGAGTCCCAATACAAAGCATATGTGCAGGTCCGTTCTTATTTCCAGTTTGCATGTTTTTCATATTTGTACAATCATTCATATCCAAATTCGGTGTCTAATGCATCGATTTACTTGTAGTCACACCCAAAGATGCTGAATTTCTCAACAGGCCTATCATCAACTACATGCCAATGCAAATTATCTTAGGCAGCAGTGTTGCAACTGGGCAACCATCTGAAGCTCCTACTACCATTGATGTTCACACCTTCTGAAGCCCCTGAAGCTGAGGACATTGAAGAATGTTCTTCAGGTAATGCTCTCCTATAGTTGTGCCCCTTTACTTTCCATGCCTATGATTTTTCCCTAATATAACAGTAGAATTCCGAAGTAAAATTTATCAGTGAAGCATACAAGGAATTGCCAATTGGCCGGGATTGGCTTTGTTTGGCAGTAAGGGACCAATAACAGTAGAATTTTTAGCTATTATAATAGTTGAATTCCTACTTACAGAACCAATAAAGGTAGGTGCATTTTGCTTAGTTAAGCATACACATATATTTTAAGTACACGTATATTTTAAGATCTTAGTGCCAGTAGTGTAGTTGAGATGCCCATGTGTTAATATGAAATGATCCCAGCTGAATCACTGAATTTTTAGCCTTGATTACTTGTTCCATCATCAGCACCACTATCACTTAGAACTACTTTAGCAATATTTTTCAGTGAATGAACAGTGTTTTTCACTCACAACAAATCAGCATAAGCCAAATTTCAGCTAAACGAACAGGGCCAAAGCTATATGTTTTCAGAGAGGCATTTCTTGCCCCAAATCCATACATTGAAGGGCTGAAGGCTTGAAGTGATCATGTGTACCAGGTCCATACCGGCTAAAAAGGATTGAATTTTTGTGGTTACACCTCATTGCTAAATACTAAGTTTGAATTTTTATGGGTTCATCACATCTTTCTTCTCATATCTACTGCTAATGTTAAATCACGTTTCTTCTTAGTTTCGGTTGTTGCTAACATGTGGTCTTGCCATTGTTAGTTTGGTTGGGGCCAGTTTCTGTGACATTAAGTATCATGATATATTTTTCATGACATAATGCCTGCCAAATCTCGTTTGTATTTCCATTTCTAAAATAAATATTAAATTTTGTGTTTCAGGAGAAATTTAGGGCTCTCTTTGCAAGTGCTTTCTGTAAAGACGAGGAAGACGGGGAGGATTTAGAACATTTGTTACATTTAGATTTATTGTATTGTAGTAATATCTAATGAATCTATAGATCAAAACTTTTGGGACTACCTGCTAGTATTTCCCTTTTCTTTTTTTCCCCCCGAATTTTGTACATTCAGTTCACTTGTGGTGTACCATTCAGGAAATTCGAAGAACTTCGTAGTAAAAAAAAATATCTAGGGCTTCAGTTTTTAAATTTAATGTCTACTCAAACACATAGTATGGCATAGTTCAATGGAGTCCACACATTAGGTTCTCTACCATGTGAAGAACTAAGAATTCAATTTATTTTGCAAAAGACTTCATGTGACACTGCAACACAGTCCCTGCACTGCATGAGAGGTTATTGTCAAAAGGTGGACTTCAAACTTTATGTAGACACTCTTTTTTCCATTTTAGACTAACAATATCATGTGAGAAAGAACCATTTATTCTGTTCTTTATCACAGGTTTGATGTCAACATATTTCCTTGTCGTACATATATAACATTATGCAAGGGGATACAAATGTCTCAATTCACTTGTTCAAATGAACTAAAATGTTGAGTACGGCTATGTGATAAAGATTACCAATTGATGTCAATAATAAGGATAAAAAATGCAAATAACTGAAACAATAACTGAATAGAGAAAAAGCTTGGAGCACTTAAACAGGTCTCCACAGAGCCTTCTTCAATTGATTCTAATCCATCCAATAGATGTAAGCTTGAAGCTGGTATTCCTGTCATAATATATTGGAAAAACTGCACTGCACGTTACGCAAAGGTTCAACAGGCAAATTACAAGAAACTAATTAGGCTGACGTAACCACTTCTCAGGAGAGGCCAGAGACCTCAGTTAGCTCTATCTAGGTGCGGCATTTGCACGAGCAGCTTGTGGAGGCAACATTTGGAATACTGTTTTGTAAATGAATTTCACAAAATTGTACTGGGAGCAGAATAGGTGAACAATTAGCAAACGGTGCATATGCACATACCTTTTTATCAAACCATAATTTTACATGAATGACGTTGAAGTTGGTAGGCGAAGAAGATCATTCAAACTATTTCTCTGTAGCCACTATCCTAGGCGATAGGCAGTCCACCAGCCTTTTACGGTACCCAAGATCTGATTCATGAGAAAATCAATGGAAATTGATAGACCTTAAATTTTTTTGTAACAATGCTAAACCTAAATCACACAAATATGAATGATCGAGATTCATCGGCATTTAAATACCATTCTCGCTTGTTGTCAACAGCTCACGTACGTTTGGTCCCACTTAATTTGAATTCGGACGACACCACAAAGAGTCGATGAACTCACCATCAAGCCATGGAATGGGAGGCCTGCAAGGAAATCAAAACAAAACAATTAATAAATGATTTCATATATCTAATCGGATTGAAATCACACTACCACAATGCATTTATTTAAGTATATGCTACTCCTAAAGTACTATCACATCTAAAAATAATACACTGAAAATTGGGAGAAAATGACACAATTGTAGACTCCAGCATCTACATCATTCAAAATCTAGAAGGACAAAGTATATAGTGGAACGAACACAAGATAGTATGGCTGCTACTGACAAGTAACTGATTAGAATTGGTGAACAAAAAATTAAGCTGAAGGTAGGTTCAAAAGTGCCTTGCTTTCTTAAGTTTATTTTATTCGCTAAGCATATTTTAACCTATTGAAACCAGCACACTTTAGCTTTGTGCGGTACATAGTTCACAAAGAAATAGTAGTAGGCAAACAAGTGTAATTGGTCAGCCCCAAAAGGCTTTGTAGCTCTAATCTCATATGCAGTATTACAGGTGTGATGTGTTCAATTACATGCCAATTCTTTTGAGCAAATGTTCAAAGAAAATCCATTGAGCACACCAAATATACATGGTTTTGTTGTGTCCAGCAGCAAAGATAAGTTTTTAGATGTCTTTCAGCAAAAATGACGCACTTTTAGTGTAGTAACCTGCAACACCAGCAGTAACTGTGTATAAAATACAGCAGAATCATTGCGCATATGCAGATCTCTGGCGCAGAATCAGAAGGTTCTCTACTATCGTCCAGCTGTTGCATTGGGAGCAATTCATTGTTGTTTTGTTTCCCTGTTATTACCACGGTTCAAATTTTCGGTGAAATTTCGGCCGAATTTTACGAAATTCGGTAATTTCGGTGGTGGCTGAAAGAAAACTCCGAAATTTTTTAATACACTAATACATGTGCTATATAACTCTAATCTTATATTTTTCTATTGTTTATATTGCATATTCTTCTATTTAATAGATATGTAGTCATAAATCATACTAATATTTGTTTAGATCCAAATTTTTTTAGAAAAAACATACTTCATGTGCTCATCTCTAAAAAAAAATTCGGTGAAATTTCGGCCGAATTTCGCGAAATTCGGTAATTTCGGTGATGGCCGAAATTTTAGCGATACCGAAATTAAAAACCTTGGTTATTACAGTTAGTTTCCCCAACAATATGTTACCATCTGATAGTGACCTCTTTATGAATGATCTGGTGAAACAAGATGACTGGATGAGGATTGATAAACTAGAACGGTCTACAGAACCAAGCGACATTTGGAGATGAATAACAAGTCTGCATCCTGCGAGAAACGCCTTACCTGGTATTGTACCTTTCCGGCCATCTTTGCTTCGCCTCGTGGTCTGGCTTCGGTTCCCCCATGAAGTGGTCCTCCGCAGCATCCGCCCTTCTCTCCGAGCTCGGCCGTGCCACCCGCTTCCTCGCCCCAACCTTCTCCGCCGACCATCCTCCTCCGGCCTTGGCCTTCTCCTCCTCGACTTCCAACGCGGCCGCTTCTTCCTCCAACTCCTCCACCATCTCCTCCGAGTCTGGCTCCTCCGTGCACACATCGTCGTCGGCAGCCGCTGGCTCCTGCGCCTCCGCCGACCCCTTCGGTTTCTCCTTGTTTGGCCTCTCCTTCCTCGCTGTGCTCTGGAGGCGGTTGCCGGTTGGCGCGTCGCGATCGGCCCCGTCGTCCGCATCCTCCATCGCCACCTCGACTTCTGCACGGGCATCAGGACCGGGCTTCCCTGTCCCCACCCTGCGCTGGCGCGTGAGTGTCAGGGCGAGCGACATCTCGACTCCGCCACGGCGGCGGACTTGAAGCGCCTCATCGACCTTGAGGAACGGACGGTGACATTGGGACGGAGTGACGACCGTTCGGGACGGGACGGTTGGAGTGAGGGGCGGCGCGAAGGAAAAAGGCGACACAGAGGGTATGGCGGGCGGGTAAGGATTGTCGAGGGTGAAACAAAACTCAAAGGAGCAGTTGTCTTCACCATGAAACACCTATGTTTTACTCAATCAATCCCAAATTGCAAGACGTTTGACTTTTTTAATATCAAGTTTAACCACTCGTCTTATTCAAAAATTTGTGTAAAATATCACTTCTTTCGTCGTGTTTTGGTTTATTAATAAAAATTCTTCAAGAATGACTTAAATTTGACTATATTTGCACAAATTTTTTGAATAAGACGAATGGTCAAACTTACGGCAAAAAAAGTTAAACGTCTTACAATTTGGGATGGAGGGAGTATATGTTTATGCCGTCGTGGATCCATCTGTCAATTTAAGGCGGATAGGGATTTTTTTACGGGGATAATAGATTTTCAATTCCTCCGCTACTTCTAGTATAGATAGATAGATGGATATAGACACATATATACAAATTATTTTATATGAATATTGCTTTTGCATTTATTTAACTGTTTATTAGTAACATTTTATACATGTGTATATATATATATACTAGCCCGACTAGTGCGAGTAGTATTATCATGTTTATATAAAAAGGTCCAAAATTTTAGTTTCGTTCTAGGTAAAAAATACTCAGGACCGGCCCTGTTCACTTGCTTGCCGGCAAGTTACGTCCTTATTGTAGCGATACACTCACTCCGCCAAACCCGTCAACCGGGTGCCGCACAACCAACACAAGATGAGGATTCACAAGCTACGAACAAGGTTAAGAACCTCTCACAAGCACAATCGGTGTGCCCTCAAACAATCACCAACTCGAGCCAACACTCCTCCGCTGCTCCAAGCCGTCTAGGCGTCGGCAAACGCCAAGAATAACAAGAAAACCGCAACAAAACGATCCCCAAATGCCACTATGTGTAATCACTCAAGCAAATGCACTTTGAATCATTTCCAACTCACTTTGGATGCACAACCAAGCAAGAGAATGAGTGGGAGAGATTTGGCTCAGCTCAAATGAATGTAAGGATGATCAAAATATCAAAGAGTCTGAGCTAGAGCCGGCCAACAACAATTTATAGAGCCCCAAAAAATGGAGCCATTATACCCTTTTGTTGGGCTTACTATGCACTAACCGGACCCTGACAGAGTCCAGTACGGACCAACTCACCCGGGTCGGGTCGCTTGATGCAGCCACGTGTCATCTCCAATCAACGGCGAGCATCAGATCTCAACAGTTAAGTCGCGCACGTTAGCTTACTCTGGACCGGACCCAGACCCCCAGGGTCCGATCACTTCACTGCCTGCGTCCGAGCACACCGCGCGCACGTAGTTGACTCCGGACCGGACTCGCGTGTCAGAGTCCGGTTCCTAGTCGCTCAGGATTTGGTCACTTCCAGTAACGATCCCGAGTGCCAAAACCCCTCCGGACCGAGTCCGATCAGAGGGTCCGGACATTGAACAGTAGAGTCTGAAGAGAAATCACTGCTCTCTGTTTCAACAAATAATTCTTCGGACTCTCTCCTACATCCGGACCCACCAACAGTAGGGTCCGGTCCATCTCCTTGCGCCACGTCGCCATCGCGCCCAACTGCGCCGCAACCGGACCCAGCGATCAGGGTCCGGTCGCCCTTCACAACAGGGTCCGGACCAAAACCCTTGCCCTCGGCCTGCGGTGTGAGTCCGGTCACTCTAGCAGCCAGGGTCTAGTCTCTGTTTTCTCCTCCTTTTCTTTTTCTATCTCTTCAACTACTTCACTTATGCTTTTAAGTTGCTAACCACAAAAGTGTCTCACCAAAGTACACGTGTGTTAGCATTTTAAGCATTTTTCAAGGGTTAATTGTTAGCACACTAGGTCATAATGCATATGCATGAATCACCTCACCTAGTGGCACTTGACAACCGCTTTAACCATGATTATCCCCTTTTCATAGTATGACTATCTATCATAAACTCACTCACACTCACTTGGTGTCTTGAGTGGCAAAACAAAATGGCCCTATCAAATATACCTTTGCTTTGAGCCCAATTTATTTTTTTCTTTCTTCTTTTCTAAGTTTAGAACTTGATCATCATCACATGTCCACCATCATCACCGTGGACTTCATCTTACTCCGCCTTGGACCATCCTATCTAGTCTACACATTTAGATCAAGGATTAGTTAAATAGGTTTCATCAATTATCTAAAACAAAACTAGGCTTTCACATGACCCGGTGGCCAGTAAATTGCCGGCGGTCAAAGCTCAGATTGCCATCTGGTCCCCATGGCGACGAAGTTCATGGCGGCGGTCTAATGTACCGCCCAGCACTTCTGTCGAGGTCGACGGTGCACGCTCGAACTGCTCGTCACGGCTCACCGCTCGCGCCGCCACTGCGAAGCTTCCCAAGCGGTGCTTCAGATGCCATGGCTTTAGGCACTTCGCGCGGGACTGCAAGAGGCCGCGACACGTCGTCGGCGTCGACAACACGTCGGGCGGGGGCGACGGTAGGCGGTTCGCGGCGGCGGTGGCACGGCCCGAGCCCGGGAACGCCGCAACGCGCTGGCGGCCGCACCCCATCCCTGGCAAGCTCGCCGGAAACTACACGGGGCGCGCACGGCCCGACACCACCGCGCTCGCCGGGCCGCAGGGGCGTGCATGGACCATCGTCGCCGCACTCGCTGGGACACAGCTCCGCAACCACCTCCGACGATGCGCTGCCAGGGGCACTCGCCACCCGCCCCAGGTTGTCCTGGTGCTACATCAAGTGGGACGCTGCTCTAGACAACGCCGAGGCCATCCTGCGGTTTTCCATGGTTGCACAGACCCGGTGCGGCACGACCGGCATCCCAATCGACACCGCCAGGGAAGCCATTGCCGCGGCAGCGGGTGTCCAAGCTGATGAGATCGTCCTCAGGTACTTCTACCCGGAGAACTTCATCGTCCTCTGTACGTCTCACGCTGTCAAGGATCGATTGCTCGGGGCAACTCCATAGCCGCTGGGAGCAACCTCACTGGTGCTGCGTCCATGGACGCGCCTAGTGCATGCCGACGTGTCGGCGTTGTTGTACCGTGTCAACCTCGTGCTGGAGGGGATTTCGCCCCACACATGGAGAGAGGACACCGCGGCGAAGATCCTCGCGCCATCGTGCTGTGATCGAGTCCGATGTAAACCTGTGTTCTCGCTCATTTTCTTTGTTTCAAGCTAGAGTTGAGCTCGGCCTGGTTGTTCGTAACCTCCGGCGCGTCCTCGGCACTGATAGGGCCAGCCCGCGGCGTGCCACGTTCGTTCACGTCGTGGCGTTGTTCCGCCGCAGCTTGCGTGGTGGCTTAGTGCGTGGGATGGCACGCTAAATTTTGGATCGGGCCATGACGAGCATGGCGTGCAAAGAAGGCGGGCGAATAGATGAGGCTAGCTCAGCCTTTCGCTTTCCCTTCTGATTAGTAGCTCATTGTGTATAAGTAGGAGAACTTAATACTGAAAACGCGGACACGAAGTTTCGTGCTTGGCACAAAAATTCTTCTTGTGTTCACTCGTTCTTGAGTTCACCGTGAGATTGAGAGCACGCCGGAGTGAGTCCGGTTGTCATTTGGTACCGAGCGAGATCACGCCGCCGGCCATGTCCCGAAGTCTCCGTCGAAGAAGAAGGAGGTTACTCCATCGTGTCGCCCATGTGCCGCCGCCGAGATTTTTTTCGCCACACTTCGCCGCTCAAATTGCGAAAGATGGATCTATAGCGTCTGGAGCGCGCATTGTGGAGCGTCCGTCCGCGAGCGTCGCGTGGCCGATGCTCACGCGATCCAACTACCCCGAGTGGGCGTTGGTCATGGAGGTCAACTTCTAGACGCTCCAGTATGGGACGTCGTCGTCGACGCCATCGACGGCGATCTCGGACGAGGACGACTACCACGACGATCGGGTGGCCATGGCGGGCATCCTGCGGTATCATCGCATAGAACTGGAAACGCACTTCGCCACACATTAGGCGCTGACGCGGCGAAGAGGCATGGGACGCCATCAAGATCTCCGGTCGGGTCCCGGCGGCGAGAGGTTATTGTCGTGGACGACGCCTTTATGCAGACGCAGCATTTTAGAGCCGCGACTTCGAGCAACCCTCGCCTTCAAGGATGGGGAAACCGTCGGCGACGACGGTGTGCGGATCACCACTCTCACGCCACGAACTCGCGCACCCTCGGCGACAACATCTCCGAATCCGAGGTAGTTAAGAAACTGCTGCAGTAGTGAATAGAGAAGAAGCTTGAGCCCCAAGCCGCCGTCTCCATCGAGATGTTACGCAACCTCCGCACCATCTCGATCGAGGGCGTAATCGGGCGCCGGTGTTCGAGGACGCGCGGCAAGTAGAAGTCAACAGGCCACGGACGCCATGGGGCTCCTTCTCACCGAGGAAGGCCGGGAGGCGCGCCGCAAGGCTATCGCCGAGACCAGGAGCAGCTCCGGAGCGCAACATTTGGGCGCCGAGCTCACCGGCGGGAAGAAGCGAATAGGTGAGCAAGGGCAAAGGCCCGGACGCGGGAAAGGAGAAGGCGGCTCCACCGCGACGACGGAAGTTGGTAGGCGAGCCCAACTCCGGCAAGGAACGAGGGCCGACCGATAGGCAGCAACCAGCTTTTGCGGCAACAAGATCTGATTCATGGGCCAAGGATTTGCCGCAGCAAGCCCAAGCGGAGGCCCATGTCGCGCAAGCGGAAGAAGATGCCGAGCCTGCCTCGTTGATGGCCCGCGCCACGCACGTCGTCCCCAATCCGGTGCGACGATCCCCACGGCGCCGCCACCACTCCGCCGCCGATGGGAGGCGCCGCCCTCTTCGCGTCATGGAGGGCAAGGTCTTCATATAAAATCGGATCTGCGACTTCACGGCGCGACGACGGGGTGTGGTACTCGG